CGTCGCCATGGCGATCTCGGAGGCTAGCCGGTCCTCCGCTTCCTCCAGGGGGTAGAAGAGGGGCAGGGGCGTGGCCTGCAGGAGCAGCTGGGGCATGCTGGGAATGGGGTAGAGGGCGTAGGGGAAGGCGTGAGGCACTGTGGGGAGAGAGAGAGAGGGGCACAGTGCCCACTGTGAGCAGCAGAGCCAGACTCGGCTGAGGGCAGCAGGGTTAATTCCCAGAGTTAATGTTGCCCACAGGTGAAAGGAACTGAATCTCTTTGGTCCTGAGCATATGAGAAGACTGAACTGGACACTGGTGTTCTTGGCACAGCGCAAACAGTCTGTTACAGGGGGTCTCCGGCATTCCTGTATCACACAGGCTCAAGGAACTGAGTCTCTTCGGTCTTGGACAGAGACAACTCCAAGCGGGACCCAAGTCAAGTACTTACAATTACTCGACAACAGTGACAGATTTAAGCTACCTGCTCCAGCGCCCATGGCCAAACAAGGACTGTTCCTGTGTCTCTGTCCCTGTGTCAATTCAGAGCTGAGCGCCCTGCAGCGCTGAGCTGCTGTGTCTCAGCAGGACATTTCACTGCCAGCAACTACTGCTGCACGCTGTGCTGTTGTGCATTTGATCAACAAACTATGACTGATCGATTGATCTCTCTGTCCCTCTGTCTGTCTTCCCCTCTCCCTCCCTCCCTGTCCCTCTCTCTCTCCTCTCTCAATTCAATTCAAGGTGCTTTATTAGCATGCCCAATGAGTTAAAATCAGTGTCGCCAAAGCAAATAAAAATAAAATGAACGTGAAACAAAACCCCAAAACATCCACAGACATATTACAGACATTTACAACAAAGACATCATAAAATAGTTCAGGTGGGGAGCTGCGTCAGCATGTGTAGTCTGCAAAGGAACAAGTAAAGGTTTATTCCTCATGACAAGAGAAGAGAGAAAACACAGCGTTTCGTCTGGAGAGTCTTCTTCAGGTGTCGAGTTGAAGGCTTCACAGTCGAAACGCTGTGTTTTCTCTCCTCTTTTCAGCAGGGAATAAACCTATTACTTGTTCCTATATGATTAAATCTTACATATACTGTAAACATCTGGAGCATTACTGGGAGAGAGGCTCACTGGTCCTCAGGCTGGGACAGGAGATCACACACTGGGCTGCCAGTTCAACTGAGTTCCCTCCTCCCTCTCCCAGTAGGATTGGGAGCTGTTGTGATTCTGGCAGGTGTGGAAATTCTGGGATTAGATTTCTGAATTTAGGGAAGAATGTTTCTCTAATCCCAGAATACCTGTCACAGTGCAGTAGGGAGTTCACCTCTGTCTCCCTCCTCTCCCTGTCCCTAACTCTCTCCTCTCTCCAGTCTCCTCTCCCAGTCCCTCTCTCT